CATTAGCTAAAAGGAAAAATTAAAAATATATCATTATTATTATTATTATTATCTTTTTGTTGGAAAATGTTTGGTTCTTATTACATGAACACAATTCTGACTGCACACTTTTTACATTTCGTCGCATCTATTACGAGAATTGATAAGATTTTTATAAGTGACAAGAATTAAAGTTGACATATAGCAGAGTTCATAGAGAAATCACATGGAAAGGGAGAATTACATAGTCTCATATCTCGTTATGAACCAGTCCCTTGATATATGCCCATGAAAAACTACTCCTCATCAAACAATTGGACTTGGAATTGATATATACGAAGATTTTTTTTCGTATCGGAATTCTTCAAAATCTTATTAAAGTGTGTTTAGAACAAGACTGAACTTAGAAATTACTTTGTTTTCAAATTATATTTTGTAATTGTAGACCTACAATATATTGTTATATTTTTGTGATCATTTCATTATAGTGTGATATTCAAATTCAAAGGTTTTTTGATAAATAAAAACTAGATTAATTCTGTTATATTTCGATGCGATGTTTTTGTGTTACAATTTGTTTTTGATGATATTTTGCGTATGCGATATTCGATTTATTATATTTCTATGTGATTTCCTGTTTTTTTGATATTCAAAAGCTAATCTGTAATGCATGTTGAATAATTCTTTCTGCGTGATATCTTGTTGATGTACTATTCAAATTGTTATTTAATTTTCATTGATAATTTTTCATGTGTGGAATTTAATTTGTTATCTTTCTTTGTGATATGTTGCCAATGTGATATTTGTGTTTCATATTTATTATTATGTATTATCTTGTAACCAGTTGTATGCTGCCCAAAAAGGGCGAACGATACAATAAATATCTATCTATCTATCTATTCCAATTTGATATTGCATTAGTGTGGTACAGGTATATCCAATTTGTTATTACATTGATAATTTTAAGGCGTGGTAAATAATATTTATATATGGGTTACCCAGTTTCAATAGCAAGTTTATTTTATTATCATGTTTCAGTATATCACATTAATGATTTTGTTAAATTTGTATTCAATTTTATTCGATTTATATATGATATGTTTATCTAATATAGCATGAATTCATTGTTATTTTGTTTCACAGTGATAATGTGAAATATGACATTTATTTTATGTTGTTGTTATCTCTTGGTGATGTGTTATTTATCTGATATTAAATTAACCTTCATTCTATGTGTTCGTGTATTTGATAATCAATTAATTATCATTTATTGAAATTGAGATTACATGTATGGTGTATGTTTTTGTTTTTCTTTTTATAAATCTGATATTGAATTCAATTTTATTAAAAGTTTCATAATATATTTAATTTTGTTGTTATCTTTTCATGTTATAAGATATTAATTTAATATTCAATTCAGTTTATGTTTTCATGTCTGTGAACTTATGTTATGGTATTATTGTATCAATTGTTATTATTATATTCCAGACGTGATAAGATAGTAATCGAAATCCGAATAATTTTGTTGTCTTTTTATGTAATATTATAAAATCAGTTTGCTATAATTTCTGATGCTAAATTTATTTTATTAATATATTTTAATAATACTGCATTTGTATCTACCGATTTATGTAATTGTTATTAAATAATTAAAGGGACAGATGCACCGTTTAGAAAAATACTAAAGTATCATCGAAACAAAAAAATGGCGCATTGGTCCCTTTAATGCCCACTTTATGTCGTTGATATATATAACTTAATATGATTTTCATATGATATACATATATATTCATTTGTAGTGATTTGAGTTAGTTTTATTAAGCTTTTAACTATTATCGAAAGGAAAATTTTTAATTATAATCTTTTATTTATAATTAGTTCATTATTTAAAATTTGATCGTTTCGGTATACATATATATATTTTCACTTCAGTTTAAACATCTTACAACACTCAGTTGTGAGTGGTATTGTCGTCTGTGTCTAATAAGTGCCACGGGTTCGAGTCCCTTCGAAGTAAAATGAAAAAGAAATATGTAGCCACAGCCAGTGTTTTATAGAGTCGACCAATTCCACAGAAATCAGGAAAAATTGTAACAGACAGGTTTGCAAATCGCGTGTTGTGTTATTCCATGTTGAATCAGAAAATGGTGGTAAATCTTAATGGCAATTCTAGAGATATGCACGCACGTCAACACGTGTTATTAACGATATAATATGATGATAAAATAAGATGATTAGCAAGATATTAAAGTAATAATTTGAACAGACAATACCTAAATATAATCAATGGGAATCCAGACAGCCATTTTTTTTATCAAGCTACAACAAGGAATTGAAATTGAAAAGATCACAACCAAAAATTATACGTGTTTAGCAGAGATAATATAGAAAAATTGAAAGCACGAAAACTTAGAAAAAAAGTTTATTGCGGAATCTTTTCAAATTTAAAACAAATTATTTCCCTTCAACGAAATAGAAGTAATTTTTTGCCGGAGAAATTCATATTCTTATATGACAATGATTGGGCAAATCCGAGAAAGTAAGCAATTGCTTAGAATCTTTTGATATATCGTAGCTATTTACGCCCATACAAGTCTTTTTAATTGATAAGAAAAATTCCATTGCCCGAAGGAATGATTCTTTGCGTCAATTACCAACTTCAAACAATAAGCGACTGCCTTCAACACAATTTACATATACTTACTTACATATACTCAATAAAACCTAAAAAAAATACCGCAAATTTTGATAAAACAGTTAGAGATAATTTTAGAATGAAAAGCCTTTAGAATTTAACAAATATTGATCCAATGTGTACCTACCAAACAGGTAAAAATTACAAGCATCAAAAACTCCTTGAAAACTTCGCCCTTTTTCCTTGTTCGGGTAAATCCAAATTCATTTTGATACCTTGAAAATATTTGTTAACAAGCAAAAGGTTACCGTTTATGTCGTGCGCCAGTGAGACTGACAAACACTTTATTCGATCTAACAAGGATGTTGAATATTGAACCTTGTAAAAAGTCGAAGTTTTCAACGAAGATTTTCGATCTTTAGCGCTTGTCGCCATAATAAAACTGACACTGATATCCGTCTGTCAATTTTTCTTATTGATTGTCAATTAAAGGGAAATAACTACATTTTAAAAACACAACGGATTTTTATCGTAATACTGAGTTTGTATTCTTTCTCCTTCTACACAATGTAAAATATGTAGAATAGTTAAAGGGATTGTAAACAGCAAAGAAGTTTTCTCTAAAAAGGATTTTTTTTTGTATCTGGCACACTGATAGCATCAACTTCCAATTTTCAGTCAGACATCTGTGGTTCCTGCAATTCCACAAAATATAAGTGTTTGATGATGCCACTAATTGTAATATCTAAGAAGCCCCTTTGCAATTAAAGACTTTATAAAACACTTGGTTTTATTGTTCCTGTAATTCCAATAAAACCAAGTTTCATTTTGGTGGTATCCATTTTAGTCTAGACATTTACGCACTCAGATAGAAGCTTACCTCATCAAGTTCTGTAAGATGAAATACTAATCAACCTACATTGTTGAGTTTTAAAGGACTGATAGGTCAAGGTGGTGCCAGTTCTATTACTCCACAATAGCAAATCATATCCATGGCCCAGGGATTACAAGGAAAGCTATAAAACACATTTTATATGGTTCAAGGATTGTATTCATTTCATATACAAATAAACATTTACACAAAATATAAACATCATTATGATACTTTTTACAAATTGCTGTATGATAAAGTATAGTGATACGACATATATTAAACATTTTACAAAATTTAAACTGAATCCAAGCAATACACATACATTGATTGAAGAAGTATTCAACGGCAATTGAATAGTTCAAGTCTATCTGAAAGCTGATGTATAATTTATTCATGATTACAACTGGAATTATTCCTATATACTTGAAAAAAAGTGACTTCAAAAATAAAGATTTGAAAACTGTTTGACACAGTTCATAATATGAACATTTGACTGTAGAGTTTTTTGTTTTTTTTTGTTAAATGTAAATAGGACAAAACATCAAATTTTTCTCAACTCAATCTTTATGAGGTTTGTTTTTCAAAAAATAAATACAAGCACAATTTCATTTATTTACAATTTATTTAATCAAACGTTATTCTAAATGCCTTGATAAATAGATTATCTTGTTAAAAGTTTCATCTCTTAATTCATTTTGTTAATTAAATAATACCTTATTGCAAATTTTTTTTTTATCTGTAGATTTTCATTCTTGTTTAACATAATAGAGGAAAATATCCCCAATAGTTCCTTAGAAAAGCCTTTATGTCTTCATATAAAAATATATTTGGTAACAAAATAAATGTACATTACTTTTAAGTAGATGAAGCAACCTACTAACCATTTTCTTGTGTCTTTGTAATTTCAAACAAAATCATACCTAGTGCATAATAAAACAAAAAGTGATTCAAGTTTCTGAAAAACATTTAATACACTGGTCATTTTACATTATAGTTTATTTACAAAATAGATATCAAATGGTCTTTTCAGGATTTTTTTTTTTTGGAAACATCATACACAATGCAATTTTCTTTGGTTGATATTGTTAACATAAGATAATCAAATAAGATTTTAATAAAATATTTGATACAAGAATCCCAAGTTGTAGCAAGTCCATAGACAAAATAAATTCGCGAATGTTCTTGTATTATGTTATACAGATAATTTTAGTAATTGAAATGGAAATAACTGGACAAAGATTTAAAAAAAAAAAAAAAAAAGAATTGTTCATCCATGAATTTATGCCCAATATTTTAAATGCCCTTATTTATTTGTATTATCTTGATCTTTTTATAATGGTATTCTATTTTCAGAAAAATTTGTTTTTCTCTTTTGAAATATTTTCAACTGAACAATGTGACCAGGATGAGAAAACTGTCTGACAAGTTGATGACATGATTAATAAATTAAGATGGAGATCATAAGCACATAATGATGAAAGCATTGATAAAATATTTACAATCATGGAAAATTCACATCAAAATACTATTAACAGCAGCATCTAAATCAGTCTCATCCTCTTCATCAGAGTTATTTCCCTTCCTATGTTCTTCTTCACCACGAGAGGAGGAATAGCTGTCCTCATCTTCCTCCTCCTCTTCACTCACTTCCTGACTATTATAAGAGTTCGATTGACCAGCAATATAATCTTCAGTATCCTCTTCGTTGTCTAAGATGCTATCAATAGCACTCTGCATTTGATTGCTTAACAAGGCATTGGGTTGATCAGCTACATTGTCTGAACTAAATGACGTATTAAAATTGTCGTGTTCTGATTGGTCAAAATCAGACAATTCTGTTGATGATATTTGACGTTGATATGATGCACTGGATTGAGAAATGGACTGAATTTCATTTGGATTTACAGACAAGAATTCTTGAGATGTTTGAGAGTTAGTAAAATGTTCGGAGGTTGTATACGTCTCTGTCGTAGATATAATACTATTTAAATCACTGTTAGATTGAATTATAGTCGAGGGGTATGAATCAGATATCATTGCACTTTCCTCCTCACCGTGAAGCCCTGATAATCCTAAACTAGCTTGATATGCAGGACTTTCAGAACTATAGGTGGCACTTTCAACAGAGTCCACAATATCACCACGATCACGCCCCGACTGATCATTGCATAAACTTTGTGTCAAGTTTTCACCCATATTTATTGTCATACTATTTAATGTTTTTGATTCGTCTGAATGTCGATGAGAAGGTATCACAGGTGATATAGAATGATCAAGGTCTTCCACCATACTAACATCACTGATGTCAGTATGGGGCATATTAGTCATGTCGCGACTTATTAAAACACTATCTTTATAGTCTTCATATGATTCATCTGAATGCTGAAATGAAGTGTCATGATGAGGATCTGAGGAGTCTGTACCCTCCCCACTGATGTCAATATGTAATGGATTTTTCACATCCGAATTTTCCAGTTTAATTTTAGTTTTCAATGAAGCACGGAACACTGAGGAAGATGTTTTAGATATTAGAGAATCACCTCCATTATTACTTTCCATATATTCACAGTCCACTGGTTCAGATTTTATAGACACCAAAGGAGAGTTGGCTTTCTCACTTCCAGAATCTTCATTAGCTAAACTACTCACAAAACCTTGACTATGTTTTCTGATCAGTAACTTCATAGTTCCACTTGACGGCGAGTTTTTAAACACTGGTTCCTCCTGTTTAATATCAGGCACCACTATACTAGGTTCCGACTCATCAGACGTGTCTCTTACACTACTTTCATCTTCAAAACTTGATTCCTTCTTAACTACTTTATCTTCATCAAAACTTTCATCTGACTTAGAATCCTTGGACTTCAAATATTTCATTGGCATAGGTTCAAATGATTCTGCAATAATAATTATGAAAAATATATGTAATAATCATGAAAAGAAAAAATTGCTGTATTTTGAGTTGAATTAATTGAATGAGATGTATGTGTTACCCAATGTATGTAGTTGTCTCCAGATATTACATGCCGTTGCCCATCAAGAAATGCCATCCGTATCTCAGAAAATATTCAAATTGTCAATCTTACAGATATTGAAACTTGTCAGATAGTGTTGTCCATTGTGTTCAATAGCAAATTTCAAGCAAAGGGATGGGCGAGACAACAAGAATAAATTTTTAATTGTCAATTTACCTGGATCTTCTTCCACCTTCCTCTTATCTTCTTTAATACAAGCAGTTAAATCTTGGTGTAACATTCTCTGTATCATCACCATTTCAGCTGATGGTTTTTCTCTCTGATAAATAATAAATAGTTACAATGTTAATCACATTGCAGAACTTACAAATATACAATAACATTTTCTATTGTTTTTTTTAGATCTGTGTTCGCCGATTCCATAGACAAATTGATTAGTGAAATGAAATAGAAAATTTCATTCAGATTTTCAGTGCCATACAATGTGAATTGAGAGGCAGCAACATTGGCATACTCTTTTTGACTTCCGTTGTTTGAGGGATCTGTAATATACAGTGTACAAGAAAGATTCAAGATGCTTGTAAATCTAGAATTTTTAAACCTTACCATACTATCATTCAGTAGTAGAAGTCTATATTTATCCATCATACTTCTACTTTTATTTAATAAATCTTGTGCTCTTAACTCCATCATATGCTCAGCTAAGTAAACAAATAAATACATATTCTAATATAAATGATTGATAAAAATAATGCATAACTTTCAATATAAACCCTGAAAAGATTCTAGCTCACCGTCAACATTAAAGCTTTCAAATCCATGTGTCCAGAATATATGTGATATATAGAAAGACATATACAGAAACGGTGAGTAAAATTCCTAGTTTGGGATATTTTTGAAGGAATCGTGTAATTTTCGTACATTTATCATACTTCTGAAGACTAGTCACATATATTCAAGACTAAAATCAACCCCCCAAAATGCTGCACCTGTCCCTGTCTGTTTATTTTAGGCTCAGAAGCAATTTGCAAATATAGAAATATCAATGTTTTAGATACCTTTATCATGTTCCTCCTGTGATGGACCAGACCATTGAAACACATGATACCTCAATAATCTACGACAAGCTTCACGAGAATTCTTAAACGGTGTCTTTGTATCTGGGGCTACAGCATTTTGTTGATCTTTGCTCATTTGTTGATGAATTCTAGAACATTATATCACATAGTTTATAAAGCAAGATATTTCTAAAAAACATTTCAAGAAATTGAGAGAAAAGTTTTTTTCCTTTCTTTGGTTGAGATTCCTTCCCAGGATTTAGCCATTGTATTTTATAAATTGAGGCTCCAAACCATCCGAAAAATATTTTTACCCCATCTAAAGGTACTTTAAAAGCATTACAAAGGTATTTTCAAAACATGTTTTCTGTAAGCTTTACTACATACACAAGATGAAAATTAATCAGGAAACTCAAGATAATATGTCCAGGAGTGGATATTATAACCCACCTAGAGCTTAAGTAGGTAAATTGCAGAAGAAGGAATATATTGAATACTTACAATGATGCTTTAGGTATTTCTGGTGCAACCATTTTAACCCTATTAGCAGCTACAGGGGTAGTGGATTGTGGTTGTTGACCAATAACCTCAGATTTAATGGGTGTTCCAGACACTTGCTGTAAAATATAAAAGAATTACCTCAGGACAATAGATTTAATGGAGATAAACATAGTTTAACAAATACATTCAATCAGACTGGCTGGTTTAAAAATTATGGAATATATAAGCATGTGAGTATACATGCCAACTTGTACTCTTTTTTACTGGTACCACATCAAAAGTTACACCAGTTGTAAAAAAAAAATTCAAGAAAAAATTCACAACAGTTACCTGAACTGCCAAAGGAATTTTGGAACCACTTTGTCCAACAACAATGTTAACTTTTTGAACTTGTTGTTGAGCAGCAGCTGCCTGTAATGCTTGAATCTGTTGTTGTTTCTGTTGTAATTTCAGTGTTGACTGATGCTTCAAAAATTGTTCTTGTTGCTCTATTGTCATCTTTGATAAGCTCAATTGAAGTTTGTCCTTCTGTTGTGGTGTCAAGTTTAAAGTCAAGAGCTGATTACCAATCTGAAAATAGATGATGATTTTTAAATGCTGCATTTGTGACGATAATAATTAAAAATAAATGAATGTCTATTTGTTAACACAAGTCAACAGAATCTTCATGGACTGTATGTATTCAAGAATCGCTATTAAAAAGAATATGTGCAAAAGAGTACTACAGAATATTACCTATATGTGAATTCTACTAACCTTTATTTGAGTAGGGACAGCAAGAGTAGCATTAGCAGGTATTGGCAGTTTACCAGTGGGTGCACTAGCTACAGGAGTACCAGTTGACATTATTGGACGTGGAGCAGCCACACCATGAGCTGGTTGTATTTGTACCAGATTCTTTGAAGCAGGTATGTTTGATGTTACAAGATTAGAAGATAGTTGTGGCTGTGCAACAGAAAACTGAACAGCATTATTGGTAGACTGAAGTTGGAAGCCAGAGTTGTCTATTGACTGAAGATTTTGGACTGGTTGGAGGACATGTTTGACTGGTGTGACTTGCTGGACAGCTGGAGACACTTGAACAACTGGAGATGGTGCTGTTTGTGACTGGGTCATTTGAGCTATTGGTGGTTGACCAACCATTGGTAAGATCTGTTGTTGTTGGACAACAGAAGAATTCTTCATCTGATTCTGATTGGAATTCATAAGTTTCTGTTTCAGCATACTTAATCTCTGAAGTTGTTGCTTTTGCTCCATTGTCATTGATTTCAAGCCCATCAGTCTCTTTATGTCTGTTTCTATTCTCTGGAGATGTTGACTGGTATTTGTTGTTTGCTGGATGACAACATTCTGCTGTTGCTGAACAACTGTTGATCCCGACTGGCTCAAAGTGACCACTTGATTCAAATTTGAGGATTGAAATTGGTTACTCTGAATAAAGGTGGGTTGTGAAACACTACTCATCACCTGCCCTCCCAAAGATGTAGATGCCATAGTTAAAGAATTTGATGTCTGAACAAAAGACTGAGAAATGGTAGTTGTTACAATGGTGCTCTGAGCAGTACTAAGAGAACCAATACCACTATCTAAACCAGCAATGTTGGACGTTTTTTCCAAAATGTGTGGAAATTGGGATGCAGGTTGAGATGTGCTAGATACAGAAGTCACCTGCTGAGCTTGTTTCTTTGATTTTGATTTTGAAGGTTTTTTAACTTCAACAGGTGGTGGTGTTGGTGTAGGAGTTGGACTAGGGTCACTAAAAGTCGATCCATTTTCAGTTATTCCAGATAAACTCAGAGCTTGTGTCAGAGGGTCAATGGCTTGGTTTGATGATACCGATGATGAAACTTTTGTGTTAGTTTTAACAGAGCTGGAAATTTGCACTGACTGTTGCATTTGTTGTTGCTGTTGAGTGGGTTGTTGGATGATAAACTGACCACTAGATCCCATCTGAACCCCTTGCAAGTTGTTTGAATTAAAGTTAGCAAGCTGTTGAAGATTAAGATTTTGTCCAGCCAAATTTAATGTAACGGCCCCAGGTTGTTGTGCCAGCTGACCACTTGGAGTTACAATCTTCATTTGTTGTCCACCAGCTAATACTTGCTGAAACTGCAAGTTTTGTCCAGAAGGCTGACCAATGATTTGCTGCTGAATTTGTTGGGGCTGGATAGCTTGTGCTGTTTGACCAGGTTGTTGGAATATTATATTTGGCTGAACACTTCTCAGAATTATATTTTGAGGCTGACCAGGTACTTGTGCCCTTTGAATAAGTATCTGCTGACCCTGACCACCTCCCAAGTTGACAAAGCTGTAATTGGGTTGGGCAGTCTGTGGTTTATCTTGCTGTGGTGCTAATCTAATCACATTTCCTAAATTTTGCTGATTCTGAATGATGGGTTGTCCAACTTGGTTGGATTGCACAATATTCTGCATACCAGCCAAGTTTATTTGCTGTCCCTGAAGTTGGTTGTTTGGAATCAATATACTCTTTCCCTGGGCAGTCTGTATGATTGTTCCTTGAATATTCATAGGATTCTGCATTGTAACTGGAACTGTTTGAACACCTTGCTGTCCCATATTTTGAGAGTTATTACACAACACATGAGCAACGTTTAAATTCACAACATTGGGATTTTGAATCACTGCATTTTGAGTATGTACAATATTTGGTGTAAGATTGGACTGGCCAGTCATAATACTGTTTGTGTTTGGACTAGGATTTGGAATTAGACCCTGTATAGGCAGTGAGTTAGCTATCTGAACTTGTGCCCTTGACTGAAGATTGTTATTATTTTGATTAAACTGCATCATATTAAAGTTGGGTGCTGGACTACCAGAGTGACTGGGTGGTCGACTGAGATTATTAGCACTAACTATAGATGTTGGTGTCTGTATAGGAGTAATCGATCTCGAGACTAAAGGAGACATGGCTGGTGCTGGACTACAACTAGGAGTTACACTACGTGATGTTAATGGAGAGTTAGCTGAGAATGGTGAGGCAGCTGGAGCTGGACTTGATCTTGGTAGCTGTTGGACTGGTTGTGAAGGTTGAGTCTGAATGGTTTGTACCGGAGGTGTTGGTCCAGTACTGGAGGATTTGATGATAAACTGAGGCACTGAGCTAAAAAAAGAACAGAGATTGGAAATACCTGGTACAAGTAAAGATATAAATCTTATAACATTGCCATATTTTGCATTTAAAATTGTCTCAGCAATGAAAAAGAATTGGATCTTCTTTATCAGATCAAAAACTATACAAAAATCTACTATCAACTTTTAGGTTTTGATACCAACTTGTTAGTAAAAACCGAGAAAGAAAATTAAATGTGTAAATAATAATAAAAATAGTGTTTTGTTTGTGAAATTGTAAGTGATAATATCACCAAACAAAGTGCATTATAACCAAACCATAAACCTGTAAATTATCAATCACCGTGCAAATTTCCCTCAACCATGTGGAATTCAAAATAAATTGGAACTAATATTTTTGCCAAACAGCAATGATTGAGAATTAGTCTAAGACTGTTAACCAACCAAATTAGTAAAAATAGTTTACATTAACGTACTGAAAACCTTTTTTTCTGTATTTGGCATGACGAAATGAACACCTGTAAATCAAAATATGAAATGATCCTTAAAAAAACTAGGTCTGGGTTTTCCATTCTGTTACTAAGTATCTTCAATTCTTAACATAACCTTGAAATGTAAGGATACAAAGAATATTTGGTTCCAGAAAGAGAGCTGAGCATACTCAGTTGAGATAGAGAGTAAAACTTTCAAATGTTAAAAATACTTACCCTTGAAGTAAGCCAGCAGGATTTGAAACTTGACCTTGTCCAGCTGGTATATTAACAACATTTGGAAACTGTTGTACAAACATAGGTTGTTGACCAGTACCAATAACTGTTGTACTGGTTTGTCGTACTTGCTGTTGTGAAACATTAGCCGTGGTTGATACAGATTGAGGTACATGGTTTTGAGATACTTGAGCAATTGAGGATGGCAGAACATTGGTGGTTGTAGTGATAGAAGCTGAAGACCTATCTTGAAAAACACCTTCAGCAGATGAGATAAAGTCATCAGCCCAAGAAAATCCTTCTCCATCTCCAAAAGATGGAATCTACAAATAATCAGTGGAAACATTTGTTACACTCATGTCTACACATTTACATTCTAATTTTCTTTATATAAGCTTAGATAAATGTCACCCATATATTTCATGTGACAGTATGACAACCCCCATTGAAAATGTTGAAATTAATAAATATTCTAGAATGTTATATTATTGAATAATATTAATGCTACTAATTCACAATGGAAGTATCCTTTATATACACTGAATATCAATATAATTCAAGCTTACGCATTATGAACTAAAAAGTAACTATATATTATTGGCCAATTCAAAAAGAATATATCATTTATAATAAGTCTACTTACCGATGTACTGCCTTCACCAAAAAATTCATCTCTGCAATCAAGAAATATATCAATTAACTTTCATTTCATTGAATTAATTGAATTGACATCAAACATGCAAAAGATCTAAATGATCAATCATTTTTTTATCAATTCCTTAATCAGTTACATTTAATATAGGAAGGGCAGATAATATACAATTGACTATTTACTGAAATACTGACAAATTTTCAAGTTTAAATTGAATTCCATGTAATCATTACAAAAATATCTTATGAATGATTTACTTACATGTTAACCTCAAGGCCATCCTCCATTTCAGAAGGAGCTGAAAAAATTTAAATTTTAGCATGAATTATTGATTATTCTTCTAATGTATATTTTCCATAGATATTTGGGGGTCAGGGATAAAACATTTCCACAATACATGCCAGTGAGTCTTCAAATACATTTTAGAATTTAGTTCATGTTCAAATTATTTCTATTCACAAGGTCTAAATAAACAAAACTTACGCATCGGTTTTTAAATTTTGAACCTTTTGCTCCACGACCATACACCTCATTTTCTATACCCGCCTTCATCCTACAATGACCAACAATGAAAATATGGCAAATAAACCCCATTGGCATTTTGAACTTGGTAGTTGGAACTAAGAAAGCATTCAATAAAAGCTACAAGTTTCATATACACCAAATTGAGATCACTTATTGACAGCAGGTTATCGATAACAAATTAATACAAAATCAATGAGCGAAATATTTTAATTGAGAAATCTTCTGTACTTCATAAATAGCATGTCCACATATTTAATTCAATTCTAGAGTGTTTCGAACTACACCTCTTCACTTTTAGAGGTATATTCGTGATATTGCTGCTGACTGGTTATAAACAATAGGTCTTCCAATCGGAATTCATTCTCGTAATCAATTATCGGCTAGCACAGTAAAAATGGAGCCCAGGGGATTCTAAATACTCATGTAACTGGTGAAGACCACATTGTCACTGAGAATTGCTTAAAAGTAAAGCTTTATTGCCGAACGTGTTGTGTTTACACTGAATTTAACTAGTTCCCAAACGACTTTAGCCTCGATCACAAAGTCGCAGATTATTGACAACTCATGGTGTACAAGACTACTGTTTAGACCAGTAAAAAATGCAATAGACCAGAGAGCAGTATGCCCCTATTGATGGACAACATAAAGCTGGCTTTTTGTGTTTTCAGCTTACAGCCGGCTTTTTCCCTTTGTGGAAACACAGTTTATATATTGGCATGCAGTTTTATGTATTTAACGCTCCAAACCACAAATACTGATAGAAAAGAAGCAGAGTAACCCTTTAAATTAATATTCTAGTTTTTTCAATGAAAAACTTCTTTTAATAGTTATTGGCAAATAATCTGTGAAGTTCATTGAATAGAGCATATTGTCAACACTCTATTTAAATTATGACTAATATACTAATGACCTAGTGATGTTGAAAATAGTCTATTGTCATACCATTATGAGCTTATATCAACGTCACAATGTAATATGTCTAACCAATGTCACAATTAATGTCAACAGTCTAACCAATAAGACAGCTCGAAAGACAAGGTAACACACCCTTGTTAAGTCCAAAAAAGGCTTTTTGTTCATAATAAATTGTAAGTTTACTGGTATCAAAAGTGTCTTAATGACAATATAACAGTTAAAAGTAATTTTGGTTGTACTTCTGCCCTGCAAAATGTGGTCTAAATAGTACAAATTCCTTCAAATCAGACAGTTCAAATGTACTTTTATTGAGAGATCCAGAACACTAAGATCAACTGATACCGATACCTCTCTTTGAATGATACAGGAACGATAATTTAGTGTATCAGGAACACTGGAATTGCACCATTCACAGTTTCAGTCAGACATCTTGCAATTTCATTATTTTTCCCTTAACAGTTTGAAAGTAGCAATGACCATTAGATATTTTCAACAGCTTTTGCGATAGTGTCATCATACAGTTAAGCATTAAAAACTACCATGTAACAGGAACTACAGGCATTCCACAGAAATTTGGAATGATAACTAGAGAAACCATAAATAAACCAGATACAAAAGATCTTTTTAGTTTATAATTTTTCAACACTTTACCCGGTGACATAAAATTTCCATTACCGATAAAGAAGTTTTTACCAAGAAAAAAGCTTAGGTTAAAAGTTCCAAGGGATTCTGAAAATATAGTAAGCATGTTAGCCAAAACTTTTCTACCAAATACCTATTACAGCCAATTATTTCTGGATTCAGTACCTATTTATGTGTATAGAAACCTTAATAATGTTAAAAGCTAGATTAGAGGTAATTTATTGAAATAAAATTGACCTAGTAAATTCCAATATTGGTCTGAATAGTTAGGATAACCTTTATCCTACTTTACTGTATCAGTAGTATACATACATAGTTTCTAATTCATCTCCCAGTCAGTAGACTTTGGGTAACCTTTCCCCAATGCATTTAAATCTGCCTACTATTTGAACATTCACATTTATGTAAAATAAATTTTTTTACTTTGTCCTAAATATGATACTGGTCTTACAGATAAGTTTACTGCATGTTGTTCATATTGGCTATAAGACAGATTTTTCTATGCAACATAAATTTCGTTGCCTCTGGCCACTTTATGTTAGGCCTACTTTTAAGACAGAAAATGGTATATATTTAACAGATGTAGGTGGGATAACAATTATATTACAGTGGATAAATAATCCTTTGAGACTACACGAAGACATTATGAATGAAAGCATGAAGTCTGTCAAATGTTGTATTGTCATAGATCTACTTCTTGCTTGGCGGGATTTTTTCGAGTATTATCTGTCAAAATCTAAGATACTACGCAATTATAAAATTATTTTCTTATTAATCAATGAACACAAAACACATTTTACTATGAATGAATTAATAAAGGAAGGAATGGGGGTGGCTGGGCAAATTGAATTCTTTCGCACGATGGCGTCTGGTTTGTTAAATGCCAGACAAACTCTACAGGTTTTCAAGCTTGTCGTTCTCAGCTATATGACCTCATACACTATAATGCATTGATGCAAGAAATGGAAATGTCACTTCTACAGCTCTTTGTACGTGTCACGCTTGCAAAAAATGCATAAATTTCGAGTAAACAGGATGACAAAACTGTCATTTACTCCTGTTTGAGCTTGAGAACACGGCTTTACCCTGCAAATTTTATCAGCGAAATAATATTCAGAAAACACTCACCGTCATGTAACGTGCCAATGATTAACGGGGTTCTCATTTTACTGCGCAGGGGTAGATTTGACCTTTTGACCTTTGAATTGACTATTCGTTTTTTTCAATTTTTGAAATATTTAGCGATCGAATTTGGATGAATCTTTGTACAAGTGATCATTAGAGTATATTTGAGAAATCTGTCGCAGAATTTATACACGAAAAGGCTTGGGACAAGCAAATTCGAGGTGAAAATACCTATGAAATGAATACGCAAATATGTGTGACGTCATATGGCGTGACCTCAATCGTGGTGATTTGACAAGTGGAGGTCCAAAAATAGAAACTAGAAGGTGGACTTTTCATTTTGTCCCTCCTTATTTATTTTGATCATTTATACATTTATATCGACAAAATAGACACTCAACGAGTTTATTAAGCTTTCATAAAGGAAAAATAAACGTGATAAATGGTTAACCGTGGCGATTCGATGAAAAGTTTGCGGATATCTTAGTAAATACGCATGATTTGATGACGTACCCCGCATATAAATATTGATTGATATACGCCTGTTGACATAGGTATACGGCCATGGTATATGGCCTATAATATGACATAATCTCATATGTTCGTATATTTAATAGTCATAATTAGCAATAATATTTCCAAACATGCACACGTAAACTAGTAACGTAATTGCATAGAGCCAGGTGACTTTGTTATTAAAATTACATAAAATATGATTTATATTAAAGCTGACATGCCCTATTAGAATCAAATTCAAAAAATTTGCATTTTTTTTTTTGCTAAGTGAAGCTGTCACCGAAAATAAGGTTTCTCTTATGAGACAAAAAATTATGCCCATCACATTTAAAACAAGACAGTTTTCAACTGATATTCAGAGCTAATGTAAGGGGATACGGCCAATAACACTAAAAATTTGAATGCATGTCTACCCTGTATGCTTATGTGAAGACTGCAATAATTTTCCTCTTTTAATTTTAGGCTGTACCATGTAGATAAAATAAATGAATTAAATGCTGTGTCCATTTAACAACAGATAGTAACATAATAGCAGTGAGTTGCCATTGATACCAAACATAGCAATCACCTACTTCTACAAATCAGCTGAATCACAGCCAATAAATAATTTGTGATGAAATGTAGCTATTCTTACTTTATTTACAGAAGTTAATGGTTTCTGCTAAACGGGAAGTTATTACCTAGTTCATACCATATACATAATGACCTATAATGAATATAAATCAAACTGTATGATATCAGTGTATTTATATTCTGATAATAAGGTTGATGGAAGCTGTAGTGGGGTGATTCTTGATAAGAAAAATGGTTTAGTTCTTACAAGTGCTACTGTTCTAGCTCCATTGGCAGCTAAAAGCCCAAGTTTGATATCCTCACTTGAGTCATCTTATTTGCCAGCTATCAATGAAAATCTTCTCACAGTTGAAGTTTATCTAGAAAAAGAACAGTTACCTAAAATGCAAAATACTAGTGTCCAATCAATTAAGAAATCAACAAATCAACCAATTCACCAATCAAATGATCAATCAACAACATTTTCTATATGCAATTCCAATACACTTGACAGAATTACCTGCCACAAAAGTAAAATAATTCAGATATTTTCCTGTGATAATTTTGATAAAGCATTTAGTAGTTTGTTTGGTGGTTCCTGTTGGACCTTCACTTCTGAAGATGACAAAAAAGACAGTTCTGCTATCCAGGAAAAGGATTTAAACAGCATTCAAGAGTTGCATCTTAAATTTATTCCTAAATTCATCTTGCTCAAAATATCCACTATTCCACAAGACTATTATTTAGCTGAGGACTATCTACCCCAAATTAATCAAGACATTCTAAACCCCCATGATCTAATTAAAGTTTGTGGCACTCCTTTTGGGAACCTTAGTCCAGAAGTGTTTATGAATTCTTGGAGTAATGGAATTGTTAGCAATGTGTATGGGAAGAGGAATTGCCTTTTACTCACAGATGCAAGATGCGTTCCTGGAACAGAAGGGGGTGGAGTTTATACCATAGAAAATGGAATAAGGTAAGGGAGGACTTTTTAATAAAATTATGATTTTCGTCAACATATTTATGTTTTAGATTTATTGTGCGATTTACTACAAACATCATAATGTACATGTTTTAACTTTATGTGATTTACTACAAACATCATAATGTACATGATTTAAATTTATTTTGTGATTTACTACAAACGCCACAATGAACATGTTTTAGATTTATTGTGTGATTTACTACAAACATCATAATGTACATGTTTTAACTTTATGTGATTTACTACAAACATCATAATGTACACGATTTAAATTTATTTTGTGATTTACTACAAACACCACAATGAACATGTTTTAGATTTATTGTGTGATTTACTACAAATATCATAATGAACATGTTTTACATTTACTGTGTTATTACTACAAACATCATAATGAACATGTTTTAGATTTATTGTGTGATTTACTAAAAACATCATAATGTACATGTTATAGCTTTGTGTGATTTACTAAAAACATCATAATATACATGTTTTAGATTTATTGTGTGATTTACTACAAACATCACAATGACCATGTTTTAGATTTATTGTTATTTACTACAAACATCATAATGAACATGTTTTAGATTTAGTTTGTGATTTACTACAAACATCATAATGTATATGTTTTAGATTTACTGTGTGATTTACTACAAACATCATAATATACATGTTTTAGATTTACTGTGTAATTTACTATAACTATCACAATGAACATGTTTTAGATTTACTGTGTGATTTACTACAAACTTCATAATGTACGTATTTTAGATTTACTGTTTGATTAACGGTGTTCTCAACGAGTTGACTTGGCAATGTTGTAGAGGAGTTAACTTTAGTTGACTAGTTAACCAACAAAATTTTGTTGACGAGTTGACATGCAGATGAGTTGACTGGTAATCTGATTAACTACTGGTACATCATCATAATGTACATGTTTTAGATTTAATGTGTGATTTACTACAAACATCATAATGTACATGTTTTAGATTTTTTGTGTGATTTACTACAAATATCATAATGCACATATTTTAGATTTATTGTGTGATTTACTACAAACATCATGTTGTACATGTTTTAAATTTTTTGTGTAATTCACTACAAACATCATAATGTGTATATTTGAAATATATTGCGTGATTTACTATAAACATCATAATGTGTAAGTTTGAAATTTATTTGTGTGATTTTTAACAAACATCATTATATTTATTATTTAAGATTAACCTTGAGATTTACTACAAACATCATAATGTATATGTTTTGGATTTATTGTGTGATTCACTACAAATATAATGTACATGTTTTGAATTAATTGTGTGAATTAGTACAAACTTTATGTAGAGGGCTCTGATTGATTGTATGCGCTGTTACAAGAAAGGTGGCTATTGAGTCATAATAAGACACAGTTCATAAAAACTTGAATTTGTGAAGATGCCCTTATATATGCTATCACTGAACCTCATCATGTTATATTTTGTAGGAAACTAAGTGGAGTAGTTGTTTGTTCTCTATGTTGGAAAAATAATGAATGGGTTGGACTATCTATTATTTGTTCTATACAGGAGATACTAGATACATTGAACAGAAAGCTCAGTGTGATTATTCCTGCAAGTTCAAAACAGTCACTTCAAAGACATGGTAATCACCATTTTTATTGTATCTTTCTTTTTCTTTGATATGCAAAAATTATCTAGTAGTATGAATGCAACAATAAACTGGGACTCTGTGTGCACATTGACAGCTTGAAATTATATATGCCACAATTCTCTTGCTGAACTGTGTACATTGCTCATTCCATGGTGTTGCCTACTGTCATTATCTCCATGAGTGGTAGAAAAGACTCCCTTTTCACTTCATTATTTCATTATTGCAATCATGGTGATAGCTTTTTTAAAATTCAGTTAAATTCATAGATGTGGACATGACTTTAAGCCAAGCTCTTCAAGGCAAAGCTCTTCAAAATAATATGGTGATCTCAAGAGGCCATTTTTTTCAGATCTCAGTAATGCAGCAGTAAAAGCTACATTAAAAAGAATTGTATTAGTTAAAGTTGGTACTTCATGGGGTAGTGGTATTTTAATAAATATTAATCCTGTCTTAGTACTTACTTGTAATCATGTTGTCAAAGATTCATCATCACCAGGTAAGATTCCAATTCATCATAGTTTATTTTGAGGAAATTGTAAAGGTATCATACATGTATTGTATACAGAAGTGTTTAGAGGCTGCAAAGAAACTATACACCAAGATATATAGAAATGTGTCCCTTAACGTATCTGAAAATTTTAAATAAAAATATCCAGCCGGTAACGCCAAAACTATTTAAAACATTACATACGTTAACATAAACTTTAAAAGTTTATGATTTTTGGAAGCTGCAAGAAAAATTACTGTACGGATTTAAGTACACTAAACACCTAATTGTAGAAAAAAATGTCTCCGATGTATTCGTAAGGTTTCGACTAATAATATTGAGCAATTATTAAGCCAAACCACAAAACTCTATATAGGTATATAAGTGGCTTCAGTTATTTGAAATTCAGCTCTCTCAAATATTTGGATGACTGCATTCCTTAAAATTGGTTATTTTACTTTTTGCTTACAGTTCATGTAAAAATAGGTATTAATTGTCCGCTTCTGAAAGCAAATATAGTTTATCAACACCAACAGGGAGTACAGTTTGATGTAGCCTTATTACATAAACAAAAAAAATGTAGAATATCAAACCAAGAACAGTTGGAAATAGCTTCACCTACTGAAGGTATACATATTTTTAATTTTAATTATTTAAAACTTGAATCTGATGTGATAAATTTTTCAGTTTTTCAGTTTTGATTCATGTCAAAGTATTTTTGCATTAATTGAATAGTGCTGTTATAGTCTGGTCAAGTTTCCTATGGGTAACTTGATCCTCAGAAATTGGGCGTGTACAAGGGATTGGACTCCTCTGCTTAATGATCCCTTTCGAATTTAGCATCTATTGTATCTATGTGATATATACCTGAGCAGCCTGTAAACAAAATAGTTGCTGGTGATCTATAATTACAGGGGAGGCAGTATTAGCTATAGGATATGGTGTATTTAGTTATGATTATAATATACAACCTTCTATAACATCTGGTATAATATCTAAAGTTTTATATTTTAACTCTAGTCCAGTCCTAGTACAGGTCAGTTTAAATATTTTTTGTTGTTTCATTAGTGGTGGCGCCATTGGGGGTATGAGGAAAATATATTTTTTACCCCCAAATAAAATAGGCCTTTACTTCATCAACGAAAAATTTCTAATTATGGTTCAAATTTTTGCGCTTTCAATTTCTCGATGTCGAGACTTGTCCCCTCCCATTTAGTCCGTCTACATTCTATTTGCAACCACAGGCTGGAGCTGCCTCTGTTTATCCTGTGTGGCATTTATAACCTTAACCTGCATTTGATTTGCAGTACGATCAGCTGCGTATTTAGGCTGTATTTTGGGGCCACCCCTCTCCAAATCTGAAATCCTTCGGCTTCTGACCCCCAGCCAAAAGGAGCTCTGGCCATTAGGGCCCTGTTTTAGAGATACACCCTCCCTCAGGTTTTTTCTATGCCCCTGAGTACCAATTATTGTCAATATAATCTTGTCTATTCTAGACAACTTGTGCCATACATCCTGGAGCTAGCGGTGGTGCCTTAATCAATCAATCAGGACAATTACTGGGTATCATAGTAAGTAACACTAAGTAAGTATTTAAAACCAGTTTTAGAAAGAAATTTTAGTGCAAGGTCTCTCAGTCATTGAATATACAAGTTTAAATTCAGAGATTTTAAATGCTTTAAAAATAGCATTGTGTGCCAATAAAAAGCTTATATTTTGATAGTCGTAATTTATAAGGTTACTTCCTCTTTTGATATTAATGTTGCAACAAAAATATTAACAAGAATCTTTATATTGTTGAAGGTTACAATTGGTTTTTATGAAGCTAACATATACTTTAACTAACTTCAGTCTGAACATTTTTCAGAGATATAGAAACAGGAGCTAGTTTTCCTCATATTAGTCTATGTATACCAGTAATAACAATCTGGCCAGCAATAAAACAATATCTTCTAACATCTGATATAACTAGTTTAAATTCATTACAAGTAAATAATAGATATATCAGAGATGTGTGGTCTTTAGAAACACAGAAAAAATGTAAGTTTTATATCTATATTTTAATTTATAACTAGTGCTCAATAGAGAAACTGGTTATTGGTTCAAATTTAATGAAAATGACCTAGGATTTTGACATCCTAACTTGGGCCAATCATGACAGTGAAAGCAGGAAATCTGTTCAAAGTTTTATCTAAGAGTAAAATTGATTTTAGAATATAAACGTATATTTACTTGTGTGTAAGTTAGCTATTTGAGCACAACATTATTAAGTAATATTCAATTAGCATTTGAGAAGAAAACATACTAGCTTTCTATTACTACTCCAAATGATAAAGGAGGGTTGAATTCTTTTGACTTTGATATATTTTTTACTATTTTACTTTTTTTTTGATGATGTTTTGTGATATACATTTCAGATAGTGTAGTTACCAGTAAATTATGAGGATGAAATGTTATACTGTTATATTAAATTTGTTTTAATTATTAAGTTGTTTTGCCTTTGCTGATGTAATTACAGCAAACTTCATAAAATAAGACAAAACTTGGGAAATGGGAAAAGAAAAATAAAATATAATCTATTTGATAAATAAAGATTCTCCATATAATTTACAATGATAAACAATTTATGTTAACAAATCATATAACATTATATGTATATCAAATCTATGCATGAAAATTACATTACTTTAATAAGAGATGGTTAAATCATCACAATAGGTACCAGTAGTGTAAGTCTTGACAGCACAGCTCATATTCCTGTCCCCAAAACGGATTGACCACTCAGATAGATAATTGATCACATGGCTTGTACATTAAATGACCAGCCAATTGAATTTAATGACTTGTTCATAAATCATGCAGCCAACTGAATTAAAAGGATTGTACATAAATCATGCAGCCAACTGAATGAAATGGCTTTTACATAAATGAAGTACAAATCATGCAGCTAACTGACTTAAATGGCTTTACAAAAATCATGGAGCCAACTGAATTAAAATGCTTTACATAAGCCATGCAATTTAATTAAATGGTTTGTACATGATTCTTGAAAGTTGAAATCAACCAAATTATATAGCTTCAGAATAAAACATGTAGCCAACTGAATTAAATGGCTGATACATAGAACATGAAGCCATCTGAATTAATGGGTTAACTTATATGAAGCAGTTAATGTAATTAAATGGCTTGTACATAAATCATGCATCCAACTGAATTATATGGCTAGTACATAAATCATGCAGTCAACTGAATTAAATGGCTGGTACATAAATCATGCAGCCAACTGAATTAACGGGTTAACTTATATCAAGCAGCCAATGTAATTAAATGGCTTGTACATAAATCATGCAGCCAACTGAATTAAATGGCTGGTACATAAATCATATTGCCAACTGAATTAAATGGCTTGTACATAAATCATGCAGCCAACTGAATAAATGGCTGGTACATAAATCATATAGCCAACTGAATTAAATCGCTTGTTCATAAATCATATAGCCAACTGAATTAAATGACTTGTACGTAAACCATGCATCCAACTGAATTAAATGGCTTGTACATAAATCGTGCAACCGTCTAAATTAAATGGCTGGTACATAAATCACATAGTCAACTGAATTAAATGCCTTGTACATATATCATGCAGTCATCTGAAGAAAGATGACTTGAAAATGAATTATGTAGCCACCTGAATTTAATAGCTCCTTACTTTTAGCCAACTGAATAATATGGCTTGTACATAATCCATAAGGCCAAGTGATCTATATAGCTGATATACATAAATCATGCAGCCAACTGAATTTTATGCCCGGTAAGTGGTGACTGACACATCATGCACCTGATCTAATGAAATATTCATATGACCTTTTGACACAGAAATATCTAATTGAGGTCAAGAACCGGAGCTTAAATCACTAGTTGACTCGTTACTGGAGGTCTCCACTACGTTACGCTTTAATTTTTCACGTAATCGTAATTGTGGTAAGTCTACTGAACTTGCGCGTTGACGTATAGCTTTATACACATGAACAGAAGTGACAGTATTTCTGGTATTTCTAGTCCCAACTTCTTTACCGTCTGTTGTTTTTACCACACGAGTTGTACTGGTTTTAAAACTACTTGTCCTACTAATGTCCTTAGCCACTATGGGAGGATTCACTTTTTTAAAGGGTAGCTTGGAAGGACTTAGTGGAGGTTTTGGTGGGGTAGCTTTTCGAGAAGTATTATATAGTTTAGATTTTATCACAGGGACATGTGAGGTTGTTTTGCTTTTTTCTGTGAGTTTATCTGAAACTTGAGGTTTGATAGTTCTTTCACTTGGTTTTTTTAACTGTCCTCTAGATGATCCTGCAGAATAATTTTGTGTAGTTCCTTTCTTTAGGGGTGGTTTACTTGCAGCACTATTTTTAGCTGGATTATACAGTCTAACATTTGCCCGTCTGAAACGCTGGGGTTCTGAAGAATCAGAGGAGCTGCTGTTAGAAGACGTCTCACTTTCAGAACTGGAAGAGGAGCAGTAATCCTGCAGATTATATTTTGCGTTCTGGCGCCATATAGCATTAACGAAAGTATCTTTAATAACAGTTTTAGTTAGAGATTTATTTTTTTCAATTCCACTTGTACCAGATGAAAAACTGGTTGCTTTTCCCTGTAATAGAAAAAAGGTAACTGATAACAAAGAATAACCTCAAAAGATCAAAGATCAAAAGGTCCTTTGCTACTGTGTCAGTCAGTCAGCATCCTTTCAAATGAGTCAATAAATATTAACATTGACATTATCAAACTTTAAAAAATAAGACTATAGCACTATTGATTCAATGAAATTTATAAAAGCTGATCCATCTGACACAACATTCAGATGAATATCAAACAGGAATTTTTTGGAACCGTAAAATCAAAACATATTGAAACGGATGTAGTGCATAGGTTTAGATGTGTAGCAAAATAAAAACTGCACATAAATTGAATGAAATGCTTGCTATATTGGATGATACTCATAAAAAACATCATGCCATGCAGTGCTTCATTTTCGCCCTACAGTTAAATGTGTGAAAGGGTAAGTTCTGTTGGAAGTGAGATGGATTGTCATCTGCCAAGCAAATTTTTCATTCAAGGCAATGCTGTCAAGATAAAAAAGTGATTCTCAAACCATGCCTTCATCCTCCCCCATATTATATGCTTTCTCCATAAATATTTTTAGTGACATTTAAATTAAAGTTTAAAGCTACATAAGATTTAGACTGATTGGCTGATACATGCATTTATACTAAACCAGTATAAGAACCCTTGACCCTAGCTAGGTAAGTGTAAGCGAGCATAGCATATAGTGTAGTCACCTTTATAACCGTTTCCTAGGTTTGGGCTTCTGAAGAAAGAAATGATGACTTGTTTAAAGTTTACTATGGAAAAATGCATCATGAATTCCAATAAAATTGTCATATACATAATACCTTCATTTGAATATGAACATTGAATCTTTATCAAAAGTGTTACAGATTTAGATAGATTGAAATAAAGCTGAAAGAAACTTTCTTGAAGGAAATGCAACTTCATATCTAGAAATAAAAGCAATACTTACAATATTGTAGTCCCCTTCAGATTTGACTATTAATTCTTTTATTTCCTCTTTCCAACCAATCATATCTACAAATTTCTGCATAGTTTCTAAAATATCTCCTATAGAAATAAACGAAATCTTGTAAAACGCCATACCATGTTATTGAACTATGTTTCATTTTATCTTTAAAATTTCGCCTGATAGAACAAATATTTCAGTCCAACTCATTTTCAAACAGTGACAAAATATTACAAAATCTGAAACTTCTTAGATATCAAAATTCAAATCTTTATCTTACCTTCTGCTACAACATCTTTACTTCTACGTTGATGACGAAATGGTCCTACTATATCTCTGTTAAATAATATTCTAGGGACCTGCCATCTTACAGAATCTATAATACCAGCAAATGGTTGAACCTGTTTTAAATATATTAATAAAATAAATACATTAAAATACACTATGTGAATTCCGTGACTCAAAAACCCTTTTTGAGAGTTCACTGATAATTTACTTTCTTGGGTATCTTTAACCAGTTCAAAATCTGTCTAAGTGACATTAAAGAAAAATCAGCATTTCACACTCAACTCAACAATTTTGTTCAAAGAATGTCATCCTAATTGAATCGCTGACAAAAGCCCCTACAGACAAAAGCCCATACGCAATTTTTCAATAGGACAAAATCCCCTACGGAAAGACAAGACAGGTTTTGGCAGGTGCTGCTGCCAGAGTTCCGGTTGAGGTAAACTTAATTATTATATAGTATAAGGAGTATAATGAGAGCAAAACGTTCTGCTCTTCCAATTGAACCTCCGTTCTATAAGGATCTTATCATTGATGAAGATTGGACTACAGCAGGTGCTCCTAACTCTGAGCCTTTCCTAATCTATGACAGTGGTCCCAATGCCAAGAAATATAAGATTGTTGTGATTGTCCGATGAGAAGTTATATGTGCTATCATGTTTCCTTATTGACATAAATGTGCCCCAATGTGCTATGATGTTACCTTATTGACATATAAATGTGCCCCAACCTTCAAATAGGTTACCTTTTTTATGACTCAATGTGCTACATTAATTTTGTTTTACAATGTTAAGTTTGTTTGATATATATTAAAAGTTTTAAATAATTTGATTTTTTTTGTAGGGGCTTTTGTCGTCTATCATTCTAATCTGATCAAGTGTTCTTGGAATCTACATTAAAGGAACATCATAAAACACTTAGTTTTAGTAGAATTTCTAGAACATCAAAAGTCTGATTGAAAATTGGAATATTGCAAATTGATGCTACCAATGTCCCGATACACATACAAAATTTATAAAACCTTTTAACAATCCATTTAAATGGGATTTGTATCTGTAGAAGCAGTGTTAATGATAAATTAAACTTTAACGTTTGAATCTGTTTTATGTTTAGAAGATTTATTGAATCAACATACCTCTAATGATGTTCCCATAATTAAAATGATATCAGCTTGTAACATATCTTTAAGATGATAATAAAATTTTCTCGGTAAATCTTCACCAAAAAATACTATATCAGGTTTGACCATTCCCTTTTAATAAATAATTCAAGGTTCAAAAGAGGTTAGAGATATTCATACACTAACCTCTAACAGCAGCTTTCTTTCTATAGATCTTTCCAGAATAAAAAAAAACATCCGATTCTCAGTAATTAAACACAAAATACCATAGTAATTAAGACTCTTGGCAATTCAGGGACGTGCACATTTTGATAAAATAGAAAACAAAATAGCATAAAAAAAAATAGAAAATACTTATTTATAACATTTTTGATATACTTACAGGGCAAGAGGTTTTTTTACATTTAGGCAATTTATCATCTAATATTCTATCCTACCAATAGAAAAATAAAGATTACTTTAAAATCATAGATTGTAGATTGATAAATTTTCTATGGTTACACATACCTATATCTAGTAATCCTTTGAGTGACATTAAATTCGATCTTTGACTACAAACTAACTTTTAACAATAGATTTGATAGTTTTCTATAAAACATTTTGCCAAATTTTATTCAAAATCAACAATGGAAATTTCATGAAAAATGCCACATTGAGGTTCTAACTATTTAGTTGGAAATAGTCCTTTATTCACTCATCGGCCATACTGAATCCAGAACGAGGCTCATAACGCAAACCATGGAAAGATAAGGCTTTGTCACTGCATAAAATCCCCACCTTAACATATTTAAAGCCTCCTTCTCCAATCCCACTAACTCAAAACTAATCATATTTTACATCATCAAAATCAGAACTGATTAAGCTATTTAGTGATACTTTTACATGAATTTTACCTTCCCACATTATCTTTATTAATGGATGATATAATTTGTGTTGTGAACCTAGCTTTCAGTGTCTCAATAACAAGCAGTGAATTCTCATGATTATCTTTTTAACACTTTGAATTGCACTTTTCAAATGTCTTACCTTGATGTCATCTCCATCACATTTATGACCACAGAGTATACATGTTGCTGTAGCAAACGTTCCATGTGCTTCAACTAATTTTGAGGGTGGAATTCCAGCTACTGAAAATAAACATGAACTTGTTTTTATTAGAAATAACTTGGAAACTCCCATAAAAAAAACATTTATTATAAAACTTAAGAAAAATAATTATATGAATATTCTTAAAAGAGAAATAGTTTTTGCATTTAACCATTAGATAGAATTGGTAAAGTTTTCAACTTTGTAATAATCTAGGTAAGTTTACAGCTGAAAATTATTTACATCTAGGTCTTTGAAAATCACATGAAAACATTTTGGATTTACAATGTCCTGGGCAAGAAACAATGTAAAAGGTAACCTTTGGAGACAAATTGATAATGTTGTCTTTTCAACAGCAAAAATTTATTTCCAAAGTTCTTTTCATATTGAGATTTTTGGACTCTCTGTTACTTATCAGAAGTACAACACATAGCTTATATTTCAGTCATTAGGCTTACTTACATCTCTCTAAACCATCAATATTTTGTGTATACATTCTCAGTAGCATTCCTTTTTCATGTAAAATTCTCACAAAATAGTGGATATAATTGGGTCTATAGTTGCCTAAACTTGGGAACAGTTCTTTGGCCAAGGTGAAGAAAGGTTTAGGGTTTCTGTGGAAGTAATCTATATCAAATATAGCCTCAGGATATGGAATCTGGTACTGCTGTAAATTGTCATATAAACCAGTTCCTGGTGTCCTGAAACAAAGAGAATCTCAAGATATTCAAGATTTCTAGCCTAATTAAGTGTGTCAAGATACTTTAAATATATTCTATTTGCAGGATTAAAATTTCCTTTCACGCTCAGTGTTTCATTTCCAAAGGACTAGTTTATGATTATAATTAGTTAAATTGTGATGGCTTATAACCCTTTGTGGTCATGTATTTGATCACAGCAACATAGTCTGTCAATCTGATACACATTGTCCCCATGGGCTTAATGTTAAGACAGGACCAAGGTACAAGTATAAGTTTACTATTAATTGATCATTAAATGCACATATGCAGATGCTTTATTTACTTTCTATGTTTAATTAATCTTAAGGTGGCTCAAGGATCAAAGGATGTTTAAACCTTTATCTAGCAGATTGGTATATGGTCTATAGACTGATCAGTTCTTGATTTTATTCTGGTCAATCTTTTTTTCAAAATGGCATAAATGGAATATTGTTCTGTTAGTTCAAAGGCAAGATATGCTAATGACCAAAATGACCAGTGACCCTAGCTCAAGATAGCTTTCTAAAACCAATTACCAGTACCTAAAGTCTGGTATTCCACTTGGTGTACTAATACCAGCTCCAGCCACAACAACTACATTCTTCACTTGATTTTCACTGAAGATCTTGGCAATATCCTGTAAACTTTTTATATTAATTCTACCACTGTTACCAGTACAGAATCCTCGTCTATAAATTAAATAATGATACATGAAAGCATTGCTGAAATCTTCTAATTAGAGGGAGAGGAGATTAGAGAGGAGCATATCAATTTTCATATAAGCTTACAGTGTTTTTAAAAAAAGAAAAGAATACTGTTATTATTTAATTACAATGATTATAGGAGAAAGATCATCCTGGATGGCCATTTACATACCATATATTAAAGTATCATAAGACATAGAAATTAGAAATATCAAGTAATCATAAGCTTCTGTCACCTCAAAGTTTTCTTGCCATGCTCAATTTCAACTACCTATAGTAGTAAGCTTACCTTTTACTAATCAGTATAGTATTATAGAATTAGAAATTATTTTATTGGTTATACTACTGTATAAAAGAAATCACAAACCTTACTGGCCTGGTAGTTGGTGGTTTGGGTTTTTCTCGTAGATTTAAATTTCTTAAGTCTGAGACCAAGGATGTTTCTGACTTTGTTTTATACACTGGACTGCTCTTTGACTGCAAGGCACGAATCTGGGCTTTGGTGTTGGTCATATTTTTTGGAGAGAAGACTGTATTGAGTAGTTTTTTGTCTGTAAAAAAAAAAAAAAAAATATTAATTATATCTAATATGATGAATTGAAAAAATTAAAGGACAACCGGAGAAATTTTTCTTATATAAGTTATAAGATTAACCATTTAAAAATCCTTTCAGTCACATAATTAAGCTTATAAGCTTACATAAAATATATATAAAAACAGATGGTGAAGCTCATAACTTTAACATCGTACCCATTAAGAAAAATCTTTATAAGTGTTCGTGTGGTCCACATTCACATTGTCTCCTAATAATGTTTCCAATTTAGGAATTACCTGGTGTAATTTCTGTTGCACTGAGATCTTCACACTGTGTAAGTGTATAGCTTATTAAATCTTGACATCTAGACTCAGGCTAAAAATAGACCTAGATCTATTTTATTTATAGAATTAGCCACATATCAAAGTTTTGCATCCTTTAATTTAAGTTTTTCATCCTCTGAATGAAGCCTACATTTTCCATGCTATGACTACTACTAAGTTTTCTGATAGTCCTGTGATTATGTTAGATTGTGGTTGCGACTAAGGCAGAAAGACACTGACACTGACAGAAGTGACAGGTAAGTTTGACTTTGAGTTTGACAGGTGAGGAAGCCAGGTATATGAACTTCATAATGAAGTAACTCGAACTTTCAACGCCAAGAAACTAAAACAACTCCGGTACCTTTGGTGTTGAAACGTGATGAAAATGACATAATGGCTTTCCTTATCATCCTGGATTAGACGAAAAAGCACATATCAGAAGAAACGGTCTACATCTGATTAATTTCTCTGCTGTTATTTTAACACAGGTGAGAAGCGGCCATAGTTACATGATAGACTGAATTTAACTTCGATCACATTGCTTGAAGAGTTTGATTCAGGGGAAATAATCCTGTTAAATTGAGTCATTTCCCATGAATTATAGCCGGTTTTTAAAATTTCGAAAACACAAACTTGAGGTATGACTAGGCCATATACCATGAATTATCAATAATCAATATGTGTAAAGTTCGCCAGTCAAGCAAGACTGTCTGTAAGAAGAAAATGCACGTGCGTGTAAAATGGATTAAAACTAAGGTATGTAGTCTGTAACTTTCGTCGTCTGCTAAAGATCGAGACTACTAATGAAAACCGGAAGTGTTCATTTGACAGGTGTATAAATGGTTACAGATATCTTATTCTTCATTTTTACAACAGTAAAAAGCACCATTTTGCACTTGCCTACACCTGTAAATGATTGGTAGTTGGTAAAGAGGAAATTCTCGTTGAAAACATCTTCCAGAAAATGTACCAAAATATCGTGCGCATAGGCACTGCGCATCAATAAGAAGATCGCCATCTTGACACATTGTTTTGGAATAACCGATAGAATTAAAATAGAGAGGTGTCAGATCGTTGTAACAGGATCAGTTATCAGGTCCTGAGTTAAGCTGTCAAGCTGGATAAGCTACCTGAGTATCTTCGAGATACGATGGATTGGTTTATGGGGTAAGTAGAAAGCTTACTTTAAAACGATGAACATATTATAGAGAATACATGGAATGGAAATGGCACCATCTCGTCAATTTACTTAGCCATCGAAGACTTCTTAAATGCTTTAATATTAGCGACAATCAACGTATGTATGCAAAATCCAATAACCAATGTTATTGCATCAGCTATTACCAAATTGAATTTAAACAATAAATGATAATATTTACTTACAATCATTATGCCTATCCGATACGGTAATTAAATAAGGTACCGGTATAAAAATTTATTGATTGATAATTTTTTATAGACTTTAAAATCATACCAAAAATGAAATGCAAAATATGATTTAAAAACCTATGAAGGTTTATTATTACTGTACTGTAGGAGTAGGCCTATCAAGTTATTGTGATATGTTTATGAGTGTGATATGGTACTGACTGACTCATAATAAGTAGGCCTACCAGTAGTAATAGGTACTAGTTCTAGTACTGTCAGCCACTACTATTTTATGAATTGATCTACTCTGCCTTATTATATCTGCTTTACTTTTTAGTGAGACATTGTGTCAGCAGGTTTTTAAGGTAGGGTATCCAAACTCTGATCTGTAAGTCAAAGGTTGACAAAGTCGATGTGAGGTCTGACATGAAATAATTTAAAGAGTCCAAGTAACTATACTAGAACTGGTTCATTCAATGTGGAACATTCTCTACTTACAACAAGAGTAACAACAAGACTGTGTCTGGAAAGTGCCAAACTTTTCTCTGGTTCTTTTTTCCAATTCTATTTTTCTTAGCTCCCCAAAAAAACCTACAAAAATGTAATGTTAAATGTTTTAAACCCACAATCAAAATATAAGCTTATAATTATGTACACAAAGGTCTAATAGAAAAATCTATATCATGAATAGAGTTTGGAATTCCCAAATAAATTAATTTACATAGAACTATCCATGGTCATTGCACAGGTAGGCTTAAATATTAATTTGATGAAATAGCACATAAAAAAAAGCTTTAAACAAATTCATAGGGGCCACTAATTTACTGTCCAAACAATTCGTGTCTGTTTTATAAATCTTTGTTGAAAGGGGAACCTGTCAGGAGTGGAGTGAGGGGAGCAGGTAATTCAGATGGCCCCAGTATTCAATGAATATTCTTTGCTTTAACCCTGTTAAATAAAATGTCTACCCTGAACTCCCAAGTAATAGAATAAAGCGTTTGATGTCTATGTAGTGTGACATCACTTTGTAACAGCTGCTTTGCCTGATTGTGTGGCCGGTAAACTGGCCGCTTGGGTTTAAAGGGTTAAAATTGTCGTGATCTTACTCATATTATAAAGCTTGCCTAAAGTCAAGATTATCCCCCTCAAGATTGGATAGAAAATCCATTGATTACATAGCTAGTAAAATTCAATTATTGGAATTTCTATTTCACTCTATATTGATTTCATCCAAGACAGATGTTGCAATGAATAATGTAAGAAATAAGAAAATAATCCTCTACTTCCACTTTATCATAGTGAATGTACAGGCAATTTCCTTGATCAATAAATACTAACTATTAAGTCAGTTTATTAAGGCTGATATCACGTTCACAACTAACCAAGTAAAACCAGAGTATACACATATAGACAATCCAGATGTTTATCATAAACTTATTAAAAATATCGATTTTGACTTGATACAAAATTTACATAAATCAGAACATATGTATAATACATGCATCCATCATAAGTTTGCTTTATTCTCTAGAATAACAGATAGATACCATATCAAGTATAAGCTTACAATATTGTATTATTAAATATATGGAAATTGCATTTGAAAGTAAGCAAGAAAATAACGGTTTTAATTCATTCCACTGCAGAACATCTATTAAAGGTCATGGTCCACCATTTTCGCAGGTTAATTGTACCTTGGTCGCCAGAACAGCTTACAGTCGAAATTTTAGTCTTCTTAGCCATATGTATCCATAATTTTCTGTGTTTTAATTTACCCATTTCTAAACTCTGCCTTGTTGTAGAACAGTTAAGGACTGGATAATTAAAAATTGTCCTTCTTACACAATATCTTTTTATCAACAAGACAAACAATTTTCAGGCAATGGATAAACTAATGATGTGAAATTACTAGATTGAAGAATTTTTGAAGGAATTAAATGATTTTCCTACAGTTCTAGTACATCTGAAGAACGTGCATGTATTCAAGGCTCAGATCATCCCTCGAAAATGGTGAACCATGACCTTAAAGATTAGGAAGTTCAAAGTGTGTCCATCGAGAATCAGCACATTCACCTTGAAAGATAGTGATTGCGTGTAATGGAATGATAAGAATTTGAGCTATTGTGTTATAAGAAGAACATGATATTATCTAGAGTTGATCAATATGTCAAGCTTTCACCATTCTAACTTTAAGCTTCTACTAGACCTTGACTTTACATTCTTTTATTTCATATCAATAATGGATCTCTGCTATTATTTCTATATTACAGTGCTATGTCATTGATGATAGGAACACTGGCTCTTAGATGTCTTTGTAATAATTTATATCATTATTGGCTGTCAGAGGCAGTTTAAAAATGTATTTCTTATGTTATATTGTGAAGAGCCCTTATTTATATTAGCATTATATTTTAACATTTTGACCAAGTTGGCTAATTGTGTAATAAAATAGAGTTCTGTTTCATATTTCTCTGCTCCCAATCATGAAGTAATGAAGGCAGACAATCATATACGTGCATGGTGAAATTAAGGGAATTTTACTGGAATATTGCAAAGATAAGATTATTGAGCTGTTCCATTAAACTTAAATCTTCCTAGATCATTGTATCAATGAAATAAACTTTACAAAAAATCTGTTCTGGAAACTTTCAGTTTTCTCTTTTGTATCATTGGTGCCCTCGCCTGATGATGTAAGTTTTAGAATACAGTAAAATTATATGAATAT